CTCAAGGCTGCTGCGTTAAAGATCACAGTAATTAGAATAGCATGCTGGGGAAATACTTTTTTCTTTTTATGTTCTCCTGCTCTTCCGTAAGCACTGCTGTTGGCGGCATTTGGAGACAGGGCACTGAACTTACTTGTCCTTTAGTCTGCTACAGTTTGGTGGTTCTTGAAGCAAGCCAGGAATTCTCAGGCACATCTGTGCTTCTAGTTGATGCCACTCTGTGAGCACAGGGTATTGCCTGGTTTAATGAGAAAACTAGACCGAGAGGAACGCTTAAATATTGTGCTTCCAAGTAAGTGTTAATGTAATCCTTCATGCATGTGGTCTGAATTTATAATTTGGCTGTCGTCTTGTATAATAAAAATAAAAAAAATTACAAAGTTGCTAACGTTGGTAGACCATAGCAAGGGATGTGCAGGATTTTATCCTTTGAATTCCTTCAGACCTGAACTTGGAAGCAATCATCCTTGTTACAAGGACCTTCAACATACTTAGAGGCATGACAGTGTGTAGCACCTGTACTTTTTATCTTCACTAGCTAGGATAATGAGGCTGAATTTATCCTTCCTTTGAGGGAGAGAGCAATCAGCTCTGCTGGAATAAAAAACCTGGCTTATTTAATTTCCTTTTAGCATGTATTGTGATAGCACAGGAGGTATTCCAGAGAGACTACTTAACAGGCAATAAAAAAAATGTAGTGATGAGTACTTTAGAAGCATGAGCAGTAAGAGGAGGTACCAGAAATCGAGTGAGTTGCTTTAGTACAAACCCAGAAAGCAACTAGAATAATTTTTTTCTGTGTTTTCAGTGAAAGCTAAGGTATGGGAATATTGTAAGAACTGTTGGTTATGTACTTGTGGTAAAGTGAAGCCCATTTAGTGTTAGCCATTAGAATTGTTAATTTCTTGTTCCCTGTGTGATGCTTTGGTTTTTTAATTTAATCTGCTGCACTGATCTATATTTAGAAAGATGGTATCTTTATATAATTTCTTTTTTGTATGTTCAAAGGAAAATGAAAACATAGAACCCGACATCAGCCTTACTCAGTTTCTGATGTACGTACTGCATACAGATTGCTATATAGAGAAAGAGCATATTTAATTCCATACAGAAAATTGGAAGTAGTTTATTACAGATAGCAGCTGTTTGTCTGTTTTGTTCTAAAGGCAGGCAGGAAGCTGTGAATAAGCTGAAGGATGCGTGGAGCAGGGGCCCTTGTGTCGTACACTACCTGCAGGGTGCCTCGTGTACTGGAGCCTGGGTGTTTGTGTGATGTGAGTAGCAAGAAGAAAACAGCAGTCTGAAGAGGTCTTGGAGTGGTGCTACTTAGTACGTCAGATTTCTTCTCGTGATTAAATTGTATGTTTTTTGGAGAGAAGAGTGCTCTTACCTACAAATCCCAGAATAAAGGCCACTTGTCCTGAAAAAGTTCAGTACCTTTCAGTATGGCGGGTACTCTGTCCACAAGTCAGTCTTTCTGTGGGTGTGTATTTCTCAAAATCCTGCTGTGGGATCTTTGAAAATTCTTTCTGCTCTGTAAAAGCAGGTTGCTTTTCTTTTCTGTACGTTCCTTCAAGGAGCATTAAGAGTTTGAAAACTGACTGTTCTCTATAAGTTAAACTTCTATTACGCTAACGTTAAAAGAAAGTGGCAAGTTAAGATGTCTACAGCGTGTAAGACTTTATTTTATCTTTCCTGTGATTGTTTACGCCATCAGCATGGAGCTACAGAGTTTAGCACGTGGTTTTGAGAGTACCGTCTGGTTTTAACTGAAGTAACTGTGTATAGCTAGAAGTAATCCTTCGATCACAGTCCTTCATAACCCTTTTTCTTTCTCTGCATAGCCCTTGATTGCAGACAGGCCAGCAGAAAGACGATTAATTGCACTCTTTGGGACTGTTTCCCATGCAGCTGAAAGAAGTGTGATTGATCTGCAACCTCTTAATCTGAATAAATTCCTTGTCTGATTATATTATATAGCAAGTCAGTGATTGTAACAACATGAGAGTCCTTCACTCCTTGTCCACTCATACTGAATGTGTGTCTAGCTTATTACCTGTCAATATAAATTAGATACACATTAGGTGCGAGCACATCATAATATTTCTATTGAGTCAGCTGGGGCACATGTCATAGCATTTATCTTGGCTTTAGAAAGAAAATTATATCTGATCTGGCATGAGATCCACTGTAGAAAATTACCACTTTGAAAACTGTGGAAAAAATATATATCAGTAGATTGTACCAATTAATGGCTTTCTGTTGTGTATTTGTGGCATTTTTGACCCAGTATTAGGACTTTATGGAAACCTGGACTTACATTTAGTTTGGCTGAGCAGTTGGAGAACATCTGGATTTTCTAGCTATTCCACAGTACTTCATGGAGTGCTGTGAGACTAAAGGAAAGTGCTAAGCACCAGTACCAAGGTGTTTTCTGGGTTGTTTGGGGTTTTTTGTTGTTTGGTTTTTTTTTAAGATTTGAAGAACAGGTAAATGCAAGGTTAGTGTTAAATTCATTTGAGCTTTAGGAAGTTAGCAGGTTGCTGTTTGTCAGCAAGTTCCTGGAACAGGCTCTTTGCCTCCTCAGCTGTGCAGTGAAACTTGGCTTAGTTTTATTCTATGCCAGACAAAAATCAGACTACAAAGTGCCTCTTTGCTGCTTGAAACAGAAAATACCATAGGCAGAGCTTAGTACATTTCTTTTTCTCACTGGCTGTGTCTCACACCATTTTTCTACATGGGCACAGATGTTTTCAGTAGCTGTGGACTGTGTGAGCTAGAATAAACTTTGCTGTACCAGTAAAGAACATTGCTGCAAAATTAAAGAATGTAGATTTGTCCTGGTGTGTCATGAGCACATGAAGAAAAAAGATACAAAATTCCTGTATCAGAATACTTCTTTAGTACGTGGCGTTGGAACAGTAAATTATTTTTCCTTTAACAAGCTACTGTTTTGCTAGACACTGAGACTACTGTAGGTCTTTAAGATGATGTTCTCCCAGCGACTGCTGCATCCTTACTAGAAAGAAAGGGGTTTATAGGAAGTAGTAGCTTCTATTAGACTTCTTTCAGCTATTTCCTTTTGAAAAAAAAATCTGTAATTTCCATATCACTTGAACATCTTACGGTTAGTTTTAAATAGATGTGAGATTGTCCTTATTGCCTCAGGTCTGTATTCCATCTCCTGATGTGCCACGGTACTTCTATGTCTAATAGGTTGTGTGTAGGGGGGAAATTGCTCCAATCTCACATTGTTGTACTAATGTGTCATGTTCAGTCTGTATAAAAAGCCATCATAGAAAAGACAGTCGTAACTGCTGAATGGTAGGGAAAAAACCTGTGATCTGCAAATCTATGTGATCTGCAAAACATTGCACTCTGCACTTATAACTGATTGAGCTGGCTTCTTGCAAGGAAAGGTAGACATGACTAGAACTGCTGCCATGTGGTGGAGCAGAGAAGGTAGAGAAGTTCCTCATTCCTCTGGGGCTAAACTGAGAAGCTTGAAGTGCCTCACTGGGGCTGAACACATGGGCTGAGCTGGGAGCTCTTCTCTGAGGCAGGGCAGTGGCAGGCACCAGCCCAGTCCACCTTTTGAAGTCCTGAGAAAGTGTACCCTCATACGAGTGCTCATCAGCGATAGCACCATATATCGAAATAAACACTTAACCTTTTGATTTCACAGAATAAATGTTGTTCGTCATCTTTAAGCTTGCTTGGTCTTTAGGGAGAACTGGGGTAACTCTGCTGAAAACTGGACACCTTTTCCTGGCATTACTCTCTCCAGAAAAAAGAAGTGCTGTTGCTGCTGCATACAAGCGTGCATGCATCGTCACATCTGGGACGCGTCTGGGAGCCTGAAGAGCGTGGGTGTGCAGCACAGCGGCAGCAGCAAGGCATTGAGGCTGGCCATGGAAGTGCCAGCTGTTGGGGTCTAGTTTACCCAGCAGTAGTTAGTTGGTACTTTTTTGGCCAGAGAGTAGAGAGGCAGGCTGTGATTTCAGCTACATTGATGGGAAAAGAGGAAAAATGGGTCTGCTTGGAAAGCCAGCTTCCACCTTGTTGGTTGGTTACGTAGGTGCCTTTACTGTCCATCGTAAGCCCAGGCCACCTGAGGTTGCAGATACCAAAACTGTTGTAACTGAAGGAATGTGTGTGTAGGTGAGTCAGCATCACTGGAGCAGCTTTTATTCCTTGGATGTATCAGGTTAAGCAGGGCTGCTTGTTCCTGACCCTGCACTGACCTTTGCTTTGTGCAGTTGTTCAGGGAAATGGGTTGGGAACCTGGTTTGGTTGTTCCACATGCTAAATATAAACTCAGCACAGCTAAAATGTAGAAGTCCCCCACACCTCGCAGCCAGATCAGTTTGCTTTTTCCATATGCTGACCAGCTGCACAGACACCTTTCGTGGTAGAGTGGAAGGGTGGGAATGAGTGATGGGAGGCAGATCTGCATAGGGGAGTTCTGCTGTTGAAGAAGCGGACATCTGGTGGGAGTAGGGCTACGGTTTGCTGCTGAATGTGCCTGAGGTTCCCAAACTCTAAGCCTTCCCTTCACACCACCTTTTGGTCTCTGAGCTGTTATTGCCTAACTTCTCATCATTGGGTTTTTTGAGGGTTTTTTTTTTTTCTTCGTAGACAGATAAGAATTTCTGATGAATATTTAAAAGTGTAGTATTACTTGATAAAATTATTTGGACTCCTTAGTTTAAGAATACGATGCTGATCTTTGTTTGCCTTTCATGATTGGATAATAGTATTTGAGATTAAAGGTATTATAAGATTTTTCCCTCATTTGGGAAATTTGGGACTCTCCACTGGCCTTATTTTTGTGCTACATTGTTCACTTTGCTCTCCTTAATAGAATATATTGTCTATTATATTTAGATCGTACTGTATTCTGAAGTGGTTAGGGTAAATGCATTTAAAGTATATACACGTACACAATTTATATAGAATTTTTAAATCTGCTTTTCTTTAAATGTTTTGTCTTTTTTTAGGTCCCCAAATACTTGTCACAACAGTGGAATAAAGCTTCAGGAAGGGGTGAAGTGGGAAAACTAAGGATTGCCAAGTAAGCCTTTACTGTACCTTTATTCGTTGCAATTCTTAGAAGTTACCTGCAGTAAAATAGATTATGTTGCACCTCTTTTAATAGATAATCCTGTTTCTTGCAAACACTGTGCATATTTCTCTGAAACCTGAAAAGTACTTGCTTGTATAGTGATTATCAATACATGAATGATATGAAATTATACTAGGGTGTGGCTGTGTACCACTACATGATGTTTGATTTCTTAAACCCAAGAAATATGCACATCTAACTGGATAATGTTCTTTAACTTACTTATGTGCTATTTTGCTGCTTCTGTTCTCACCTGCTGACTTTTCCCATTTATTTTTGGGCATCAGCATAAAAAAAAAAAATTGAGCAGCTCAGG